AGATATAGGGTAGCACAAGGCTTGAGGTGGACAAAAGTTAACTTGGCAGCGGGAAATGAAGTCACCAACTACAAACTCTGTGCCGTCAGTCCGTTGCGCCTTCCAGACTGGAGTCCACGTGACCCGCCTTGAGCTTGACTTGAGACGTTACAAGACATGCCTCACAGTTGACACCAATGGCGCGTCGGCTGTCGTCTAATCGGACTGCCTGTTTAAAGTGCGTTTGGTGCCGGGTTATCTGCGGGGTAATGGCTGATTATGAGGCGGGGCAGTGAAAACCGCTGCGAAGCTGCCTCGTCGATGCCGCATTATTTTCGCACGATAGCCAGCTGTTTGTGACGGTATATTATTGACATAAGGGGGGCGTGAGTGTTTGTTTAGAACATTAAGGTTTTACGCCAGGTCCCCCTGCTATCCCTCTTATTGATCTTCGGTTCATAGGTCACCATGGTTGTACGGCAGCGAAGTAGCAGCACAATTGATTGGTGTACTTATGAAGTGGATCAGACAGATTTCTCTATGATTGCCGCATTACGAACGTGGGTCCCCTTGAAAATCGGGACTAGAATGGAGCAGCTCCAGTCGGTGGAGACAGTCTTCTAATCCCAAATTTTCATTAAGAGATCGTGTAAGCGCTCCGAAAAGCAGATTCCCCGAAACTGAAGAGGTCTGGACAAAGTTTGTCTAGTCAGACGACCTTATGCAACTTTAGCAGTCCGATCTCACATTCGACTTCTAAGCAAAAGTGCGGATATTATTATTACTCAACACTTGACTAATATACAACTAGCAATGCCACAACACATAGTTAACAACAACAAAAAGGGAAAAACAGGTATTCAATGGAAGGGTTAAGAAGCTTTAGAAGGTCCATGCGATGTGTGGGCAGAGATCTTTCCGGTTGTCCAGACCGACGAAGAGGGTTGACTTAATGGACCTCACCCCGAACTTTTGGTCATAAAGACCTGACCCGCAAGACAGCGGGGCGATTCACGAAGACCGTTGACGGCCGGATAGCTCATAGGCCTTCTTTGTTTTCGGTAGCAGCCCACAGAGAAGCCGATAAGCAACAAGGTTGTTCATCCGCCCGCTGTTACTCACCTCTGGTTACAGAAGTGAGTGGTCAGTGACCCTATAGCTGGTCACATTGGCTTGGACACAGCGCCCTACGAGCTCTTGTGGTAGTTGATGAGAAACCAGCCCAGAAATAAACACGCTCTGAGACGCTGCCGCTGACTGTCCGTGACTGCTTATTCATCTTGTCTGCAAGACAAACGAGACCTATTCGCAGTTACCTACACAGGGAAGACATTCCTCAATCCGCAAGCTGGGGACGTGTCCGATAGCGTACAGCTCCGCCACGGGGGAAAATGCGGATCAAGAGGGAGAGCCCAGGAGGAGCAGGGCGGTCAGTAGCCGGGAGTGAAACTGGTAGTCATGATCAGTTACATTGAGTTTCAAAGTTGCGTTCAGGCAATGAGTAGATCACTTTGAAGTCGTCCTCTGATGCTGCATGGCCGTATTCCAGGTGTGACAAAATCGAGCTGTTAGACTTCATTTCACCACATTGGTATATGCTCGCGGATCCTCTGGGAAAAACGTCTCGAAGTGCGACCGACGTATCGTGCACCACAGGGGCACGCGTATTGATACACAAGCATAGATCGAGCCGATGAGGAAAGTTTATCTTTCAAAGGACTGGTAAGCAGGGGCTTATGGTAATAAACTATTCACAAACGAGCTGCGGGATGTCTTCTCAACAGCGTCTACAGAGATGAAGTGGTCTTCAAACAGCTCGATTTTGTCACACCTTGAATACGGTCATGCAGCATCAGAGAACGGCCTTTCGAATTGCTCAGCTCAACGCTCCGAGCGTTTAAACAGACGATGGACAGGTTATCCAGTCTAGTCGTATATAGGGTCGCTAATACCGGGGCTCTCTCTATCAGTTTCCCGTATCAGGTGGAGTAACTTCCGATGGTTATCAAGGACAGCAGCCATTTCCATCTCCGACGCACAATGAGATCACTAGGATTCGCGGTGTCTCTTCAAACTGTTACGCGATTTTGAGCTGAGATTTTTGCGAGTCCCATTGTGTTCACTTAACGCAGGAACACCTTGGGGAGAATACAGAAGTTCCAGAGACTGCGTAGAGACCCAGCGTCTAGGTTGGTAATCAGACTTGCCATATGAAGATATATCTGCTGTTAGCAAAATCTGGCAAACATGTGATCAGTGACCTTCAATTGTGTTCAGTCAGCGCGGACAAAGCCCGGATGCAAGCGTACTTTGATACGCTGAGTTCGCTAGTTGGTGGATGTCCATTCCCTCACAGCGTTGTCGCCCACGGCCTCCGAAAAGCACTCGCAGATCGGCACATACAAGTACATGGTCTGAGTACACCCATCTGTTTCAAATCGATCAGCAGTTGGACGCAACCTCTCCAGCGGATGATGTGTAGGAAGTTAGTTCCCGCAAGAAATAGACGAGCACCTGCATACACATCGTTATTAGTACGAGGACGAAAGAACTCGTTTAGTCGGTGGTAGAAGTCATCTTTCACCGTGTCAGCGCTGCAGTTTATGACCACGTAAGCAGCATCGATAAAAAGACACCATTTGTCTGCGCGCTACTACGAAGTTTTGGACGAGCCAGCTAGTCTGACGGCGCACATCCAGCTGTTGATTGGGATCTAGTCAACCAGGACAGCTTCAAGCCGGGTACTCAGAGCAATGTCCGCACCGGCTTGACCGGTATTTGGAGCTGCGTCATTTTAAGACGAGCACAAGGAGAATGTGTTGCGAATGTCGCATGTGGAGGATCGCAGGGTGCGCAGAGAACTCGAGTCTTGCAGGCGAGTCTCCCATAAACAGCAGACGTCGATCGATAGGATCCCTAGTGTACTAAAAATTGCTGGCTGTTAACCGATGTGTAACAAAGTACGCACATTGAGGCACGTCAGTCTTAGCAAGGATCTATGGCTCCAAGTAGAAACGGATAAACTGATGTCGTTTGTTTGAGTGGACATAGCGGAAGTGGTGTGCTGCGATTGTGTGAGTTGAATCTAGAAGACAAACACCTAAGAAAGCAAGAGGGAGGGGAGAGTCAAAGATTGGGGAACTGAAAAGAGGGAGGGGATAAAAGTGAAGTTGGAAGGGGAGGACAAGGATGAAAAACGCGAGATGGGGTAGGAAGACGGGAAGGTTTGAGGGGCAGCATCCTCACCCCACCCACATCGCCCGATGCAGCAGAGATGGTGACATAGATTATCCTCCGTGACGGTCAAGGCACCAAGAAATTGGGTGAGGAAGCTCATCGTATCGTGTCTCTTAAATCTGAATCGCTCAAGTTGGCTAATTCACGCGCTCTGTATGCCCGTATATCGCCTTCCTAGAGGCGCACCATATGCTGTTGCTGCGCTTAGCTGAACGACGAAACCATGAGGGGGCCAGTTGACAACGCGGCATAACAGCATGAAGAAAGTGACCGAAAAACTTGATCACACTGGCGCCTGCTCTCTTCGTGAATAGAGGCCATGGGACGGGCCGTATCAGTGGTGGGAGACAGTATATAGAGTGGCGCAGTGCTACTGCAGTCGAGTACATATACTAAACTGGTGGCATTCTAACTCGATTTATGTTTCCCATCTTCCCACACTCCTTGTTCCTTATACACTGCAGGTTTTATCTCGTTTCCCCACATTTAGTGTGTGAATTCAACGAGTCAACTTTGACACGTGGAACTCCTAATTCGTTAACGCAAGTGTGCTACTATCTATTTAAAAGTAGCATAGTTTTACTTCCATTTGTTGCCACAAGGGCCGGACGTATAGCATCTGAATCAACTACTTTCCATTTTCCTCTTAGTCGTTAATAACCTTCGTTTATGTATGGACCACGGTCCGTATAACACAAAAAATTCGAAAGCTCTCTTTAACGAGCCGCATATCATGCACTTGAATGAGCGCATACTGTTTGAGCTGAATACGTTGCGAGTCTGTTCAACTACTCGTAAAGTATACCTTCCCATTTTGCTTTATAACCTCTGATGTAGAACCAAGGTTATTTCAGTACAATCAGTTCTGCCGGCCGTCCTTAATTATTACAGCTCAGACCGTGAGCTTAAATAGATGTCTTCGGCTCACCGTAAGACAGCGAACTTAGTAGTGACATGCATTTATCACTAGCTTGACGACGCGAGCCGTGGCGAACGGAATTGTTCGTGTAATAAAATTGATCATGCGGATGAGTAGCAAAAGTCGCAAGTCACACGATAGTAAACCCGAGCAACGGGCATTTCGATTTAGTGCGATAGTAAGTTTTCGTATGACGGTGCATTGTCAGTTAGCAAGATCGTGAATAATTGCTCCGCAGTAGGTTAGCGATACTAACTCTTATTCGTCATCTTAGAGTCATTGTGGCTATGCGACAGCAAAGCGAAAGCACAAATGTACTGCTGAGGCCAGTGATAATTTCGTTGATAGTAGAACCTGTAGCTTAGTCACGGGTAAAATGTCCCAAATTAATTCTCAGTAACAATCCTAATAATAAGCAGAAGCAGTTTCCGTATATTTCGAAAAGCAGATGATTCAGATGAACATAAAATGCCACTGAGTTGAGAGCAGTAGTGGAAATATCCGGAATGAAAGCAATATACGGTTTCCATATTGGGCTTCGGTGTACCCGCCGTGTGGTTGAATTGCGACAGGCAATAGATGTTGCTCCACTTAAAGATGCACTCCGATGTTTTAGAGTTTCTGTGTGAGGGGGGAGCTAGACACAGCCAAAAGTAGGCAGTATACCTAAGACCGTAATCAGTAGGCACGGAGACAATCGGAACACAGAAAAACAAATACCAGCAAACAAAAGGTGACAGGAGAGTCTAAATAAACGTGCACGATCACAGTACCTATCATAATGCCTGCATAATTGACACCATAGGCCTGTGGGAGAAACAATAATGCAACCATAGCGGATAATGAGAAAATGCCAATGGCTCACTTCGAAGCGTTCTCTGTCCGTCCCCGTCAATTGGAATGTTGCTTTCCGGTAGTGTACATTCCCGTCCGAATCTGTTTGGGACCCCGTTACATCGAGAAGATCCAAAGAAGTATCTGGTTGGTGAAAATATCAGCCGATAAGTTTGAATGGAACTTGCATTCGCACTTGGTAGCAACCACCAAGTCTATGTTTATCTGTACTTTCCTGTATGGCTATCAGAATGGGAATGAGGTGAATTACGAGTCAAAATCCTTGTCAACTTCGTAGGAGTATCTGTACTTCGGTACGACGTAATTACGTATCTCAGAAATCAAAAGGATAATACTCAATGCCCCTGTAAGTAGTGTGACTATTTAACACAGGTTTGTGTTGAAATGAAAAGTCGAACCTAGACCACCACCCGTGGTTGACTTTTTGCATTCCTGAGGTAACTTTGGGAAGGCATCCAGAGTTTGGATTAAATCTTTGGCGGTGAATTCAGATGGCTCTTTGGGTGTTACATTACGTCGTCTGACCTCCATAAGGCTGAAAGTAAAATGCGTCATCAGTTGTGAAAAATGATGAGAAGCAAGACTAATGAGTTAGGATGGGGTATGAATTAGGGAAGAAATGTCAACGGCGCGTAGCCCAGTGTACCAACCATGTGACCAGCTCATAGTTTCGTGACAAAAAGATTAACTTATCGAACGAACGTAAAAACCGATTCCAAAGTGAGAAGAAAAGGGTAAAACGAAAAATAACTGAAAGCCAAAAGGAGAGCAACCTAGAAAAGATGTTGTGGGAATAACACAAATTAGACCGAAGCAGAAGGCGCCCGTTGTACTACCGGATACAAGTTAACGACACCGCAAAAAGTGTGGCCGTCTGTTGACTGAAACGTTAAGGTAATGTGGATTAGTCCATTTCAAAAGAACACGCAAGAAGCTCAAAGTTTCTGTCAGGTGTTGTCGTCTATTTTATTTGGTTCAGAGTAGTGATTCCATAGAGTGAAACTGAATATCGAATTCTGGGGGAAAGTAGAAATTTAACTAAGCACAAGTACATAGAAATATGACCAAAATCTTAATCTCTTTGACTGCCAACACCTTGATCGATTTTCAAGTTCACGCGTGATATCGTAAAAAATACATAGTTCACATAAAATTAGAATCAACTAATGTGAGATATCATCGTCAGTGAGTAATGGTTTTCGGAATCTAATATTGTAAAAATGCAGATTATATGATCCGGCAAACTGTTCCAAACAGTGACCACTCGCCGTCCAAAGCACAGAGGATGGGGAACTCGTTTCAGCTCTGGCCCGATAAGCTTGTACTGGTGTCTGCATATACTTCAAGGTGTTCGTAAGCGGAGCAGTGACCTCAGCATGAGGAAGTCACTTGGATGTAAAATGCAGTAGGTTATGATGGGGTCCACTCGCATCAGAGGATAAGATATAATGTACAGTCCCAGTTTCTCGCACCTGTTCTCGTACGGTAAATCCTGTGAGCTGAGGATGAGTCTGATAGCGATGTTCGATCTCTTGCGCTTCATCTTGAGTGGTCGGGCAATAGGCGGGCGATCCGTACTCTAGCAATGGTATTATGATGGGGGAGGAGGCAAGTAGCAATCAGTTCAGACCAGATCCAGAAGCTGCGTTTGAGCGGACAGAGTATGTGCAGTCTGTTTGGAGGTAGCCTGTTTCTGTTGTTCACGGGCTTTAAATACCAACGTCAGAGTACGCCTAGGTTTTTCAAGGAAAGTGTGGGTTGTAGCACTCGGACGTCAAGAGTGCAGGTTCGGCCTTCACCATTCTTACACAGTATAATGAAAAGCGACCTATTGCATTGATTAGAAGGCGGACCTCTGTGGATCACATGCAGAGGAGGCTGAAGTCTTGCTGAAGTAGGCTACCATCATCATCATCATCATCATCATCATCATCATCATCATCATCATCATCATCATCATCATCATCATCATCATCATCATCATCATCATCATCATCACCATCATCATCATCATCATCATCATCATCATCATCATCATCATCATCATCATCATCATCATCATCATCATCATCATCATCATCATCATCATCATCATCATCATCATCATCATCATCATCATCATCATCATCATCATCATCATCATCATCATCATCATCATCATCATCATCATCATCATCACCACCATCATCATCATCATCATCATCATCATCATCATCATCATCATCATCATCATCATCATCATCATCATCATCATCATCATCATCATCATCATCATCGTCATCATCATCATCATCATCATCATCATCATCATCATCATCATCATCATCATCATCATCATCATCATCATCATCATCATCATCATCATCATCATCATCATCATCATCATCATCATCATCATCATCATCATCATCATCATCATCATCATCATCATCATCATCATCATCATCATCATCATCATCATCATCATCATCAGCTAATTGGACTGGTGCACGCTGTCGTACAACCACGGTGATCTGAGTGATGGAGAACAGAAACAGAGAGAGGACTTAGCGTAAAACCGTAATGCCCTAAGTAAACATTCTGGGTCAAGGATACTACAAATTGTGTCAACAACATACCGTCACAAACTTGAATATCGCGCAAATATAGGGCGGTATCAACTACACAGCTTCCTTGCAGCTTTCACTGTGCCGTGTCATAATCAGCCATTATCCCGCAGATAACTCAGCACCAAACACACTTTAAACATGCAGTCCGACAGGGGACGGCAGGACCCATGCCATTGGTGCCGACTGCAAGTCATGTCCTGTGAGGTATCAAGCCCAACACAAGGCGAGTCACGTGTACTCCATCCCGTAAAGTGAGACGGACCAACAGCACCAAGTTTGGTCGCCAGTGACTTCATTTCACTCTGCCAAGTCAATTTCTGTCCGCCAGGAGGCTTGCGCCACCCTACCAGCAGATACCAGCAATGCTTTGCAGACAGCGGCGATCAAAGACTTGAAGGCGCCTCAGACCGAAAGGGTCAGGTCTCAGTCCCAAAGAGTAGGACGGCTCCCACTTTGGCTTTGCAAACACGCTTTCAGACCGAGGGACAATGCGTTCTGACGCCAAAGATATCACAAGGTTCAGAACGGAGTTACAGCTTCTGAAATAGGTGAACTGATTTCAGTGCTTATGTGCACATAGTCGCTGATGCAACTGCCAAGGTAAGTGAATTGAACAACTACCTCAAAATCCTCGCTATCAAGGGATCATCAAGTGGCTGGTAGTCCTGCAACAACACTGCACGTAGATGGTGCAAAGCGCATGCCGAATGATGGGACTGCTATCGAGAGGATGTTCAGGGTTGACTGGGCTTCCCAAACATCCTTAAACATCAAGACAATATCGTTTACATAACCAAGATCAACAAGCTTATCCCAAGGCGACACCTCAATGTTTGCATGGTGAGGTTCTGCAAGAGAACAAATCACAGTTGACACAGTCAGTGCGGCTGCCGTTTTGTATATTGCCACTATAATCGATTCACTCCAGTTAGCCGGGACACTCTTCCTTCCAGACATGTTCGAAAAAGGTTAGTGATTTGCAAAGGACCTCACCATCATCCATAAGTAGTTTGGATGCAAGGGAAAAAGATTAAGAGCTGTGATCGCGTTTCCGACCTCCACTTCCGATGGATCCTCTAAACTAACAGAGCATGTCTCAGCCTGCTTTACCTGAATAAGTGGTCAGGCAGCAAGGGACGAACTGAAGTGCTCTCGAAAGTGCTCCACCCAACGAGCCATATGGCGCTCCTTATTGGAAATCAGGGCACCCGCGCTTTCTCTGATTACCTCACTGACGCCCGATTTCCTGGGACCAGTGGTAAGGACCCGTTGGAAGAGCTCGCGGTAATTGCTTACTGCTTCCGCCTCATCCAATTCTCGAGCCCTACGTATCCACGAGGCTTTTTTGTCAGCACGTAAACTCCGCTATAGTTCACACGAAATATTCCGTCTGGTTACATTGTGATCAGAAGCATACTGGAGTATTCTTCTGGATTCTAACAGCTTCACAGACCTCTTGGATATCCAGTGACTGGTGGGGTGACGATCGATGGTGTCACAATCAGAGGAGCTTGCATCGTACATGGCAGCCGAGATCATATTCTAGTGAAGCCCAATGCCATTTGGACGAAAGATAGCAGGTTCGATACGTAGGCCAATTCGGATAGACATGTCTGACAGAAGACAGATAACTGCTCAATTTCCAATCGCGGGAAGCGCATCGTACTTGTTCCAAGTTCACAGAAAGCGACAATGAACCAAGGCATGATCGGTATCTACGTAGGTATTCCAGAACGAGCGACAATCTAAGATGGAAGCATGCCACCTGAAACTAACGGCAACGTGGTCGGTTGGGGTTTACTGTTGGCCAACTATGGGATGGGGAGCAATAAGTGGCGATTCGGCGCCTACTCTGCCTAAAAGCGGCACTACTAAGAAAGTGCGTTTGATTCGCTTACAGTTGCAACAGACGCTCGCTGTTGTCCGTGCGGTCGGAGGTAAGGCCATATATACCACTTAACTGAGCTTCGGAAGAGCCCAGGTGACCTACTTATGCATTCAAATCCCCTGTAAGTACTATGATTTCTGAACTGGTAGTACTGAGAAGCAGCGTGTTCAGTTCGTGGTAGAATGTCCTTGGCAACCGTGAGAGTATAAGCGGAAACTACAAACAAACAGCGTCTTGTACTAATTCGTGAATAAACCTTAGTTGATGTCGCCAAACGGGTTGCACACAAATGGCTGGTCACGGGAATCCAAGCAAGCAACGAGGACTCGGCCGCGAACCTGAGAATGATGCCGACCCCAGCATGACCAGTGATTACCGCATCAGTGTAGCCGGGTGGGTGTAACCAATGACGTGAGGGCAAGCCGGGTGCAGTTAGTTCAACAATCAAGTGAGAGCCATTAAATATAGTTTCAGACACGCAACACATGCCAGTACCGAGTGTCTGAGGTGCGTGTGAGTGCAGCCTGTTGACCTATTTGTTATAGAATGGGAAGGTTGAACAGAAAACGGGACAGTATGGCCTTTTGTGGGGCTGGTACCGATAGATATCCAGTGGGTGGTGTGGGAAGGCAGCTACATATGGTAGAACTGCAGTGGCTATGTAGCTACTGTCAATTAAACTGGGATTATAGAAGGAAGGTTAGTAATGGCGGTCGGGATGGGAGTAAGAGAAGCAGTTGGAAAAAGAGTGGAGGAAGCAGCAGTAGCATCTTTTTGCCTATCCACCCTGCTGTATGCAGCAGGTAAGGTGACCGTTGATAAGCTGGGCGACGGCCGAAGCAGAATGTGGTTGAAGTTTGAGGAAAATGTCGTAATTGTACGTGGGCTGAGATACTGCCAGCACGCCCAGACTTAGACAGAAGGACAATTACGGTCCTCAACCAAAGCCTGTCCTCAGGGCAGCGGGAAGGTAGCAATGATTTGGACGCCATCGCATTTCCAACCTACAAACGGGAGGACCAGGAAGACTGAGTTTGTC